TTATAAAGGCGTTACAAGAATGACGAAGACCGAGGGCTTTCGGAGTCGAGGTCCGTAATTTCCGTACCGCCCGTGAAAAATACACATTTTTAACACATTTGCCAGAATATAGTATGATTGCATGCAGGTTAACTTGACTATAGGGTCGAAACACAAGACTGCGACGTCGAATCGCAGAAATCTACGAGGTCACAATGCTCCGCATCGCGCATTCCTGTGATGTTAATCTTTTTTGTGTTTTTTTCCTATACTATCTTATCTATAACAGCGGTCTTTTTACGATCCATGTCGCTATATAGTTTAAAAAATACGTTCAGTACAGTTGATAACGTCGAAGGAATGTTTACCCGAACCGTGGCAGTGAGATGTCACGAAATCGCATCGCAGCAATTCGTGTCGCAGTTTTCTGCGTTGCAAATTCTTAATGCCCCAAATAAAATCTTTGGTAAAAAAATAACATAAATATCATGGTTACATGACCAATCAAACATCATGACATTCAATAAAAATTAAATACCCAGCATTGAATTACAATTATATGGACGTCGGGTCCGCGCTAAAAAGTGTCCGAACTTATAAGGCGTTAAAATCGTATACAGAGCGTTATTCACGCTTTAGTCTTCGTTTGTTCGACTGACAGCGAAGCAAGCAAAATTAGACAGTACTGCGATGACATTACAATTTAAATTCAACGTTTTAGCCTTTTCATATTCCTTTACATGTCACTACGTTTAAATAGGTTGACTTGGGACATTTTTTTCGTGGTTTTTGTATTAGACCCGTCGTCCATTTATTTGTCCATTTCCGTCGTCCATTTGTTTATTAAGTCAATGATACCCAGAATCAATTTGCAAAGGTCGTTACCCACTTTTGTTCTTCCGGAGCCCCCTCATCATCATCGTCCAACCACAGGACTGATGAATTAAATAAACAGAATGGTTAAAATTTATATTTTGACCTGATAAATATCTATAACGTAGAATTAATACATAAGGTTTTTTATTAAACTAATTAAGAAAAATATGTTAACGACGTGAATTTAAAATGTTTATGACTTAATCCGAATAAAATTTTCCGTTATTCTTATAAAATATGCACATACGTTTCGTGATCAACCCATTTATACGTCCCACTGGCCTACATGGGTCTCATCTCAGGCGTGGGGGTTGTGAACCTTCTTCGACGTGCAGGTATCATCACGACATTATTCTTTACCGAAAAGCTCGTGAGAAACTTCAAATTAGATTTTGCACATAAACTGCTTCCGATGCCGAACGGTTACCATACTGGACTGAGAAGTATTTGTATGGCCTACTTTTATTTATCTCGTGAGTTTGGGTGTCGAATCGAACCTGGGACCTCTGCGTGGCAGTCCGGCATGGTAACCGATAGGCCACGGAGGCAGTTCATGTGTGACGGAAGACAATTAAACAATGTTGGAATTAAACAGTACGTACTCTCTTCTGGCTGCCTATCGTTGCTTGTCTTGTTGGATAACTATAATTTTCCGGTGCTTTATATTCATGACGTATATTATGGTATGGTTGTATCATTATTTTGCGCAAGTTCTGTAAACTCGCAGAAAAATGCCTTATTGTGCTGTTTTAGAGTGCAAAATTGTTAGCCGCAGCGTCTTATATTAATAAATTGTCTGTATATCGAATTGATTCAGGTGTTAATCGTTCGTCGTAGTTCAACTATTGGCCGCAAGATGGCAGCGCGTTGAATAAAGTTTCAATATAAATTCAAAACGACGTAACTTGCAATAAAGATATTGAACTTTTAAAGCGATTGGGTAAAGTTTAAATTAACAATCCAGAATTTATAATTATTAATATTAGGGGTTAAAGTATGAAATTGCCGTTTTATTGCAATAGGTTCTTTGAATTTTCATAGAATCGTCATGGTTTGAGGTTTTCGAATGAAACTTTTTTCAAATGGTTTCTGTGATTTTTTTTTTTTTTAAATTTGAAACATTTGAATATCGACTTTCAATTGTTTTTGTTATTCAATTTAGACAAGAAAGATGGATACTGCGAAAATTCGAGTGATTTTTGAATACGAGTTCCAACGCGGAACTAACGCGGCAGAAACAGCCCGCAATATCAATGCTGCGTTTGGAGAGGGGTCTACTAATGAACGCACCGTGCGATTTTGGTTTAAACGCTTTCGTGATGGAAATTTCGACTTAAAGAACGAGTCACGAGGAAGACCGCCCACACAGGTGAATAACGATGAATTAAGAGAGATAGTGGAAGCCGATCCTAGTCAAACTACCCAGGAATTAGCGGCATGGTTTAACGTTACCTTACCCACAATATTGACTCACTTGCGTCAAATCAATAAAATAAAAAAATACGAAAAATGGGTGCCTCATGATTTGACTGATCTGCAGAAAGAAACGCGTGTTGAAACTTGTGTTGCCTTGTTGAACCGGTACAGAAATGAAGGAATATTGGATCGAATTGTAACATGTGATGAAAAGTGGATTCTTTATGATAACCGGAAAAGAAAAATGCAATGGCTGACCCCAGGTCAAATGCCACAACAGTGTCCTAAAGCAAAACTTACCAATAAAAAGGTAATGGTAACTGTTTGGTGGTCTCAGCATGGTGTTATTCACTATAGTTTTCTCCGATCTGGTCAAGCAATAACGGAAGATGTCTATTGTGCCGAACTCCGAACCATGTTGACAAAACTAGCAGTAAAACAGCCCCGACTCATGAATCGATCTTCACCATTATTGCTCCACGACAACGCGAGACCTCACACAGCACGAGAAACCATTTTGACCCTTCAGGAACTGCAGTTAGAAACCATTCGTCATCCTCCGTATTCACCAGACCTTGCTCCAACGGACTACCATTTTTTTCGTGATTTGGACAATTATCTACGTGACAAGAAGTTTTCTTCCCAGGAGGCAGTACAAAATGCTTTCACACAGTTTGTGCAGTCTAGATCGTCGGAGTTCTATCGCAAAGGCATTAATAACCTTCCCATTAGATGGCAGCAATGTATAGATAATAATGGCAACTATTTTGATTAAATAAATTTGTTAAAAATTTACAAAATAAACAATTTAGATTTTCAGTACAAATCGGCAATTTCATACTTTAACCCCTATTACAAAGATCGAACACCTAGAAAAAAATCCTTTGATCCGGCTGTATACGAACTTCGTCCTAAAGCAAACCGTGCCAGACGCTATGCCAACTAAGCCACGGAACGAACTAGTGGGCCTTACGAATTTTTTCATATGCTTGTTGCAAATCTTTGTTTCTGGTTTTCAACGACATTTTTGTCCTAGCGCCATCTGTGAGAAATGTATTTCTTCACTCAGCCTGATACCTTTACAGTTACCAGCAGCTGACTAGAGATGTCGCTGTAGTAACTGTAATTTTTAAGTTTATAGAATGTTACTATGTTTGACCACTATGATATTCAATTAATGTGTGTATGCCAACGAGCTATGAAGCGCAGCATTCTGCTAGTCAAATTATCAGACCGAATCAGGAACAGTGATGAAAAATCTGTTCATAGAAAACCAGGGTATGCTCTGATTATTTATATTTATGTATATTTACTTGTAGATTTTACAAAATAATGTATACATGTATCACACGTGTATTGTTAATATGTAGTGTGGCATAAAGCAGAGGATACATAGAGCATGTACCATTTCCTTAGTTCTCAGCCGACGCTGAAGCAGGAACGACAGAAAATCAGCGTCTGTCTCGCCTGAGACAGACATATTGTTGAGGGGTATCCTTTTCTTCTTTTGCGCCATTTCTTGTTTTAGTGTTAAGTATTAGATTTAAGTGTGTATGGTGACTCAATGAATAAACGTTTTTCTTTCTTTCTTTCTTGATCTGCGTTCCAAAATACGAATCGTAGATGTGGGCCAACAAGCGGGTGAACTAAAATGGGATTAAGCCGGTCACGTCTGCTGCATGAGTCGTGGGCGAAGGCTACCACAGAAAGGATCCCTGAAGATAGAAAACGGAAAGTCCAAAGCGTCGATGGAGAGACGAGCTGGACGCGCACTTAAAATACTGGACCTCAGTGGCGCAAAATAGAGACGTGGAGAGAGGGGAGGGAGTCCTTTGATCAGCTGTGGGGCAGTATAGGTAAAGGTAGTAAGTAGGTAGGCAGTAAAGTCTGTTTAAATATTATAATGGAGCAACACTCGGAGAAACCTTTTTAGGTTTCCGGAGTTCCGAGTACCTAGATAAGAAATTATTGTAATATGAGTAAATAAATTAAACAAAATATTTTTGTGTAATTACTTTGTGAAGTTTGTTATAGGTAATTATTATAATAAAAATCGAACACTAAGTTGATGAAGAAGAAACTACGCTGTACGTAAGAAAAAGCTATATCAATTGCAAAAAAAATAAAAAAATCGCGTATATTTATTTTTTCACACAAACCAACGTTTCGGTCCCTTTACAGGTCACCGGGTTTTTACAATCAACCGTGACCATGGGACCTGTAAAGGGCCCGAAGCGTCGGTTTGTTTGAAAAAACAAATATACGCGATTTAAACCCGGAAAAATAGTATCATTTCCTAAGTGTAACAATCGCGAAAACGAACTAGATATATAAAAAAAATGTCTTCTCCTTTGTGCGTTTGTCTCTTTGTTTTTTAAATTCTACCAAGAAATAAGTTTTAAGCATCCCCTTATACTCAACACTTATTTTAACACATGAAATTATTGTTATTGATCTTGCATGGTGGAAAATCCACATATGCACCTTTTAAAATTCAAAAAGTTCAAAATTCCAATTGGGTCAATGTGGCGGCCTGAATCATATTCTCAAAGCACGCCTTTTTTTTCGATTAAATTTGGGACAATGTGTAATAATAATAATATTCAGGCTACGTGACTGGTAGTGCGCTGTAAGATTGTATAAAAGCAAAATACGCACGCTGTGTTACTCCATTTTTCTCCGCAAAGGACTGCCTATAAGGTCATATGTCAAGTAATTTCATAACAGCCGTATATAAGCCTCGGCCGGCGCACGCGCAAAGCTTGTTCGAAACAAACTCCTGCACAAGACGCGTTTCTGTTGTGACGTCACCATTTCTGATTTTTTTTTATCAACCGAACGAACGAACTTTTTCAGTGTGTAGTGTGATACTGTGTGGTGTTGCCGTGTTTCTAGAAAAATATGTAAGTGGATTTTTTTAAATTTTTCATGGAAAAAAAAATATTTGTGATTTGGAAAATTATTGTATATTATTTTAAACAATTTAAAAATATTTTATTCATTTTGGTTTTATAAATATACAATATAACAATTTAAAAAAAGTCAAGTCGCTATTTAAAAAACTTTTGACTTTTGCTTTCGTAGGTCGTTCCACCGTTCGGTACGAGTCCTTCTTCTTACAGTGCATAATAATAAAATAACACAAATTACGTCAACATCTTGTTAAGTTTTTTTAATATAAATATTCAAATACGACTAGTTTTGTTTATTTAAAAACAAAATGGACAGAACATTTAAAAATTTAACATTTTATAATAAAAAAAAAATTCTTTACAATTTATTATACTTATATTTTTATGTCTCATAAAGTGTAGGTTTTAAATCTAGGCTTCTCTTTCTAGGCTAGGCAGGTTCATGATATAATTAAACAAATAAAATGACATATCTATCTCTCTGCATTTGCGTTAGTCAATTTGCCAGCCCGTCGTACAAAAGCTGGTTACAAAAAATTTTTCAACAATGACATGACATGTGCATATAGTTTGAAAGAAACAAGAAGAATATTGGTATACGAAATAAATTTTATTTATTTTTTATAATACAAAGTGACGAGCGAGTCGTGCGTCTGGCGGTAAACGACAAGCCTGTTCAAAACAGTAGCAATGACACTCAGAGTTTTAAATCGCATAGGGGCACTGCCACTGCGTCCGTCAACCTGAAACTTAAGCTGACAAGTCTCTTGTGCCTGTAATTTTACTTACAATCTTAATGCTAGCATTACTACTTGTCGGCAGAACTAGGTAAGGTTGCAGTACATCCCTGGGCGCGCTCTTTCTACTGGTACTAAAAACTCTAGTTACTTGACCCAGGTTTGGCAGACTCACAGGTTCGAACCCTGTCTGGTCTTTAGGAATTGTTTTTTGTGTTCGATCTTTGCATTAATAATACTATGTTACAGGATTTTTGTTCCATTAGACATCATTTTCTAATTGTTTCTGATATAGTAGTAGATTGTAGCAGTATATGTCCTTGTGAAAGAGGTCAAAGTCAAAGTCAAAGAATCGCTTATTCCATGGGTAAAATAAATTTACACTTGAAAACGTCACATTTAAGCAACTGCTCGTTCACTACGCTGACTTCCCTGAGAAGAACGAGCAAGAAACTCTAGGGATTGCTCTTTTCAAATAAACTTAAATGCTATGGTATACACTTTGAATCAAATTTGTCTGGATTCTGGAGCCATGTCGTCTTTCTATACATCTTTATTCGTTCGTCCAGGGAAGTACATTATCTTTCCTATTTCTGCCGCCAAGCAGTAATGTGAGTACTGCGTGAAAGTATAGGCGCATGGGACTTGTTTTTAAGGTCTTTGTGATTTAAAGCTCTCAGTGACACTGCAGATGTAATGGACAGGCGTATCGCTTACCATCAGGCGCACGACTCGTTCGTCCCGTCACTTGATGTTATATTTAAAAAAACATGAAGAAACTTAGTTTACCTGCAAAATCTTTGCTTTTCTAGTCAGGGCGTCTACACCGAAAAGTAAAATCCGATACACGTAGCTGCGTATGTCCTTCGTTTAAATAATTTCTTAGTATGAATAAATGCGTTAAGTACTCGATAGTGGAATGACAAAAAAATGTGCAATTTTTTTCGTATCACTAAAGAAACGTTCAAATTTTCAAGAAACAAAAAGAGAACGTTATATTTCAAATAAAAGTGTAATTATTAAAAAACACCGACCTTAAAGTTCATGAAATTACGTTTATTTAGGAAATGAAACTATTTTTCTGGATTTACATCGCGTATATTTGTGTTTTTCAAAACAAACCAACGTTACTGGCCCTTTACATGTCCCATGGTCACGGTTGACAAATATACGCGATTTAAATCCGGAAAAATAGTCTCATTTCCTAAGTGTAACAATCGCGAAAACTTGAAAACTCGATATTACATCTATTTGCCAAGTTTTATTGCCACCCTTAGAATTGGCATATTTTCTTCAAATTTAAATGGGACTTATACTGAGGTAGCCTGAAATATAAAAAAAAGAATCATTAAAATCGGTTCACAATCGGAGTTATCGTGTAACAGACATAGAAAAAAAAAATACAGTCGATCTAGGAACTTTCTCCTTTTAGAGTACAGACAGTTGCAGTGTCACTCAGAGTTTTAAATCGCAAAGATCTGAGGGGCACTGCCATTGCCCCCGGCACCTGGGACATAAGTCGACAAGTCCCAAGTGCCTGAAATTTCACAAGTACCCTTCAAAACTGCGCCGGCAGACATAGGTAAGGTGACAGTATTTAACTGGACGAACTGTTTTACATTGTAAAAGATTAGAAGAAGAAGCTCTCTCGACTGTTAGTAAATTATTATTATTATTAACGTTTTATGCATTCCATAACTCACTTAATTTTAAATTTAAATCGGTCTAAGCCTTGGAACTAAGTCCAAATTTATGGTACCACGATTTCGTTTAAGGTAAACGATTCTTTTATGCGGAACTGTATACGTTTTCGCAATAAGATTCCGGAGCATATATTATTAAGATTATCATTTCCTAAGTTTAAAACTTACATTAAAAGTATTTTAATGAGTATGTATAGATAAAGGTGTATGGAAAGACAACATGAGTCTGGATTCCAGACAATTATGATTCAGAGTGTATTCCATAGCATTTAAGTTTATTTGAAAAGAGCAATCCCTAGAGTTTCTTGCTCGTTCTTCACAGAGAGGTCATCGCAGTGAACGAGCAGTAGCTTAAATAATGACGTTTTAAAGCATAAAAAATGCAACTGTTACCGTTAAAAATAACCTTCTGACGTTTACAATTTTTAGATTTTCTTTAAAAAGATTTAACCCTAATAAACAAGTTAGGTCACAAGATACAGAGGTCGCATATTTAACCTTTTTCTGTTGCAAAAAAATTTAACACAAACTAAATAAATACGTTTCGAAACGTCAAATCGTATCGATTGGGAAATTTAAATACCGAAGAATTACGCTACAGACATCCTTGGCTAGACCCGTGCACAACAGCGACGTTTATATTGTTTGGTATGTATGTGTATACCTGTTACACATTCAACTTTAAAAAAGGTTTAAACTATGCTTCCTAAAGGTTTAAAACAAGAGTAAAAAAGAAATAACTTTATAGGGAAGGTTTTTATACAGCTTCTGTGTACTTAGACAACTTAGATTTATTAAAGTATCGGCGATACCAACAAGTTGAGAGAGCTAAACGTTTGCTTCTACCATCGAGTAAATAACCGGAAATAGAGACAAAATAAGGGCCATCCAACCCTAGCAACTCATCAGGCAAAAGGGCCTTTTATTATTACTTTTAAATATCAACTCTCGTTTGCACTGGAAACATTTTTGGAATGTACGTCTCCGTATATTCCAAAAATATTCTGTATTTATAGTAATGAAGATAACATCTCTAACTATGGGGGTCTGTTCCATTCGGTGGTGCGGGAAAAACAGCAAAACATCTAATTACAAAACAAACGGAATCACATTTCATCGGTAGTTAAATATTAATTAAGTAATTTTTTAATTTTCGTCTATTATAGCAAAGCTCAAGTTAAACTGCTTGGTTTGAGGTGAAACAATTGACGACACCCGTCAATTGTTTCGAATTCGGGCTGGCCAATCGGAGTGCAGTTGTCACCGTTGTTTTCAAATTTTGAATCGTTTTTTAATTACTTTGCCTCGTCATTACCTTTTTGTTTCTTTCCGTCGTCACTCCTTGTTGAATCGCGGTAGCGAGCAGTTCTGGTCTAATTCTTAATTGCGTCTAATTTTGATTCTTTTACCAGTTCTCAACCTAAATAATGTGCCAATTTTAATGTTCATACCAATCTGTAATTCTGTAAAACTCGGCCCTTTTGAGTTAAGTGTCTACTTTATATTCATCCATAAGCATATCCATATGTAATGAAGTTTGAGAGGGTTTTATAGAATTGTACCTGTTTTTTATAATAGCTTTTCTTGTTACACCCTTTCATTTCTTTTCTTTCAAGCTATCGAATAAATTTTTGTAGACCGAAGTGTCCTATTTATTGCCGTGATCCTGGTCACGGCACGTTAGTGGTTTACAACCTTTTCAGCTTCGTTCGCGGTGTGACCAGAAGGGTGAAATGGGACACATGGGACTTGTCAACATGTGTCTCTGGGTGACGGGGCAGTGATCATCAGATCTTAGCGATTTCAAGGCATGGATAGCACTACAATTGCTAGGGACAGGCGTGTCGCTTACGTTTAGAAGTGAAGAAAAAGTCGGAGAAGAATCACAATTTTTAGAAAACGTGTGTAGTTTCCAATTCGCATCGGATCGTTGTAGCGGACAATGACCTGACATGACACACTGACCTGAATCCACTTCTTAGGGAAGAGACACTTACTCAGCAATAGGACGCGTGGTAGATAGATGATGAAGGAATAGTGCATAAGCAGACACATTATAATCACGAATAAATAAGAAATAAATAGAAAGAACTTACAGTGAGTCATTGGCTGAGAAGCGGGAAAAACTGTTGTGGCGGCTGTAGACGCCGCCTATTATCATGGGCTGTGTCAGTCTCTTTGGAGAAGAGTTTTTTTGAAATAAAATATAAGTGCGCATTTGACCTCCATCTCACCTACTGGAAAGTGACGAAGAGGTCGACGATGGAGCATGCACATTTAAATAATGCATATTTACTCTCGCCTTGAATAGACCCAAGTTACAACGTTCAGGGCACAAGTGTGCAGGCAGGGAATTCCACTCCACAGCCGTTCGCCATATAAATGTGGAAGCGTAACGCTTCGTGCGAATCTTTGGAATATCTACAACATAGGGGTGGAACCCAAACCCACGCCTAGTCCCCCGGTGATGGAAAGGGGAAGGCGGAATTAATTCGTGTAAACCCATCGCACACTCTCCGTAATATGTCCAGCCAAGGAGAGTTTTACACTT